AAAAAAAAACGAAAAACAAAAAAAAAAGAAAAAACGAGAAAATTACCGAGTACGAAGATTTTATGGAGTGCGAAGATCTTGCAGAGTGCGTGGATTTTACAGTATGTGTACGTCCCTAGCTGTGGAGTGCGATGCCCTCGCTGGAGTGCGAAGAATTTGTGGAATGCGAAGAATTCCGAGTATGCGTGGCTGGTATAGAGACCACATAGGGAAATTTCGGGGCCAGAACCAAAATTCCAATCCCAAAGCCAGCCCAAACTTCCAGGGGCACACCAGTGGGTTCTATTTTTCCGAGTTCACCTTGGGCGAGGTCCCGGGGAAGAAACTTGCTAATTTTTACTCAGCCAACCTTTAAAAACGTTACCTTTGACAACCCTGTCCTTCTTCGGTAGACAAATGAGGAAACTTCCTTATCAAAGCAGCCTTCAATTCATTCAACGTCCACAGCTGCTTTGGAACGACATAGGGGATAGAAAGCTGTGGAGGGGCATTCAGTGGATTCGCCGTGGGCCAACTGTTCCCTCCAGATTGAGCTGAAATGCCTATCAAAGTAACATACCAAAACCCAGGTCTGGAGTACGATGAAAACATGGTATGCGAAGATTTTCTGAATATGGGAATGTTGCCTCTAGATTCATGGGTGTTCTTGAGTGGCACTGACATAACTGAAATGGTGGAAGTTCAGATTTCTTGTTGGAATATGTGATGACAACAACTTTCTGTGGGCTTGACAAATACACTGACAGGCTGAAGAAGAAGACAGACGGCAACAAAAAGGCGCGCCATGGATTGACTGTTTCGCTTATGGGTCGATCAGACCATCGCCTAAGAATCCACCTGTTTCGAGCCAACAATGGAGTGGTAGAGCCGCTGCTTAGCACTAGCGAACATTGGCAGTATTTGGCAGCCCTTAAACTGCCTGGTACAAGACAGCTGCAGCTGTGCACAGGCAGGGGGAAGGCGAAAGTTGCTCCGAAGCCTCCCCCTCGCAATACCAAGAGGACTGGCGCTCGGGGAATCATAGGAGGTCCTGTCGAAGCTTTGATGGCGCAGGAGATAACCCCTCCGTCCTTTGGGCTGAACACTCTTCACGGCCTGATACTCAATGGGTCTTCAGTCGCGGTGGGCCCACCAGGCACAGGTCGCATCTGGACTGCTACTCCTGACTGGGTTCTACTTATCAGAGAAATTCCAGAGCCGGAATTGTTTGGTGTTGATGTTCAAATTGTCCGAATTTCCATTCGACCTGTCTTGCAAAGCCTAGGGGCGCCTGTTGAGTGGGAATCACCGTTGAAGCAGTGACGGTGTAGGTTGGCGCAGAGTAGGCAGAATGAGATCGTTTCAATATGTTTCAACTACTGTGCGGAAACCAATCCACAAGAAGTATTTTTTCTGCTGCACAATTCGTTTTGACGATCATATTTGTTGATTTTCCCAATTACATTGCATATTTCTAGAACATGGTGCGGTAACCGCAATTGATTGTTACAAAATAATTTGAAGAAACAATTGCAATTTTATCAACACGAATTGATCTCATTTTGCACCAGAACCTACAGACCTACTGTGAAATGCAGTAGATTACCTGGGGGAAAAAATATGTATCAAATTAAGATATATAAGAAAATATCATTTTATAGAGGCCAATTTGTGGTTTCTATTTAGAAATTGTTTTTATAAATATAATATTTTATTTTGTAATCTTATAAAATTTATAATAATTAATTATATATATAATTATAAATTATATAAATAATTTATTTAACAATAAATAATAAAATATATTAATAAATAATTTATAAATTTTATTTTATTTTTTTATTATTAATATTATAATAATTTAATTATATATAAAATATATATATATATAATTTCTCGAAATTATTAAATATATATATATATTATTATATAAAACGGGATACCTGCCGAAAAAGTGGGCGCCCCTGTCGGAAACCCGATAATTATAGCCGGAATTGATCCAATACATCGTAATTATGCTAAAAGTCCTAAATTTTCCGGAAATTTCGGACGAAACCCCGAATTTTCCCGGAAATTTGGCGATTTAGGAATTCCTAAAGTGGCAAATTTTCCGGAAAATTGGTGCTTCGGGATTTTACCTGAACCGCGAAATTTTCCCGAAAATTGGTACTTCGGGACGTCGACTTAACCGCGACCTTTGGCAGAATCATCTCAGCATGTGCACAGATTGGCGACATGTACACTGCAGCTGTTGAAGACAAGCCTCCGATGGATTGCGATAGACAAAAAATCAAAGTGGATAATTTGAGGGTACCCGGATTTTAGGACACAAGAAATTTGATTTTCTGGTTATTCTTGACTGAACCCAAATTTTATAATCGATAACCATTATTTTGCGGCATTAAATATATTTTCCGTAGCTCATCCAGTGTGATCGCGCCTTTGGTCGCTCTGTCAGCAGTGGCCTCAATCACACGGCGGGGATTTGGTCAAATTCCCATAGATTGGATAATATTGGATCTATTTGGAAATATGATAACATTTGATGTATTTATTGTATATGAGATATTTTTATATTTATATAAATATGAGTGCATCGTATTCATATATTGTGCTTCCTGCACGGCCTCACGGCACCGATTTCGATTGCGTAGGCAAACGCTAAAAATCAATCTGCTGGGTATCATTTCAGAAGAAACAACGCGCTGAATCTGATGAAAATAAGTGGTGTAGACCTCACCTGCTCTACCCTGATTCCGACGCCTAGGCGGAAACGAGTGGTGCTTTTCTCTCAGCAGTGGCCTCAATCATACGCCGGGATGGATTAGACAGAAAATGGAAGTATAATGAAAATAGTATCAAAATGGATGCTTTAGAGGTATCTGGATTTTAGGAAACCAACAATTTTGCCTTCCTGGCCATTCTCGGGTAGTTATGTTGCGGCATTAGATACACTTTCCATTGGTCATCCAGTGTGATCAGATCGCGTCTTTAGTCGCTTTGTGATCATCTTAGCGTGTGCAAAGATTTGTGATGTGTTGTATTTCACCGTGTGCAAATATTTGAGTTTCTTGTAAGCCTCCGATGGATTGCAATAAACAGAGTATCGGATATCTCTGTGCATTACGCATAAGCCTTGAGTGCTGTGGTTTTTCCAATCTCGACACAGGTTCCTTTCCTCTTGCCGTAGCTCATCCAGTGTGATCGCGCTTTTGGTCGTTTGAAGTGATCATCTCAGCGTGTGCAAAGATTTGAGAAGTTTCGTGGAAGTTTCCGATGGATTGTGATACACAAACAATTAAATTGTCTGGAATCGTAGTCCTATTTTCCCATTTTTTTGGGAAAATTGGACCTTTTTTGCCAATTTTTTGACAAAAATTGTTGTTTTGACACAGGACTTTTGCGGTTGTTCTTGGCATACGGCTGATACGCCGCCGTTGGAAAGGTTGTCGATTTTGAGATGTGCCTTTTACGGTGTGTTATATTGTGTTGTGGTTTTTCCAATCTCGGCACAGGTTTTTCTTGCCATAGCTCATCCAGTGTGATCGCGTTTTTGGTCATTTGAAGTAATTATCTTAGCGTATGCAAAGATTTGAAAAATTTCGTAGACCCCTCCGATAAGTTTCGTAGAAGCCTCCGATGGATTGCGATATATAAAAAATCAAATTATCTGGGATGGTTATCCTATTTCCCAATTTTTTTGGGAAAATTGGACCTTTTTTGCCACTTTTTTGGAAACAATCGTGGTTTTGGCTGTTGTTTTTGCTCTTTTATGGGTATAATTATTTTAGGAAAAACATACCACTGAATCTGATGAAGATAAGTGGTGCGGATCTCACCTGGTTTACCCTGATCCCAATACCCAGGTAGAGACAAGTGGTGCTTTTCTGTCAGCAGTGGCCTCAATTACACGGCGGCATGGATTAGACAGAATTGGAAAGTACGTATTTATAGCCGGAATTGATGTAATATTTTATATAATTATATTATAAGTAGGAAAATTGGCCGGAATTTTTGGCCAAAGCCTTTACTTTTTACGGAAATTTG